GAAATCTCCACTGACTGAAGGTGTTACTACTGTTTTTGTACCCCTTGTACCCCACCCCCACCCACACTTTTACCCCACCCAGGTAAAAACCTGGTCACACAAATCCAATACAGCTCCCAAACAAGGGAACTATTTTTTGTCCATAGAAGCAGTTTGGTGTGGTAGAGTAGACTCTTCTCATTGTCTGTCCCATGTTTCTTAAGAGCTCCTCAAACAATTTGTCCAGTATCACACAATAAACTGGTAGCTAGTATTTTGTTTCTTGTATCTGGTAATACTCTTGAGATGTACAGAAATACACAACAGTAGGGGATTCAGCTGTACTTCTGCTGGGCACACAGATCTCCTATGACTGTATTTTGCCTTATGGTGTCCAAAGAATGAGTTACAAGTATCTTGATTCAGAAATTGCCTTTAGGAGGAGACACCATTATAAAGTATTCAGGTTTATCTATAGAATGAGTTTATAATATGCACTGCATTCTTTATTTATTTTTTTGTTTTGTTTTACATAGAAAAGGGATCTCTGAGAGAGTACCAATACATCTCTGAGCAAACCTGGTAAAATTAAAAAGTCCTATTTGATATTCTGATTTTTTTTTACCTGGCACTTCTGCCTGCTGAAACTCTGGGCAGAACCTATAGTTGCAGATATGATTGCTGGTAGCTTTTGTTCACAAACAGAACTTTAGTCTTGCTGTTGCGGTAAGAAATTGTAAAGTTTTTATGAAACTCCCTCTTGCCTTTTTGCAAGTGATCACTAATGAGAGCCATGACTTCTGACAGTCCATCTTAGACAGTGCAATTCCACAGGCTATTGATTTCTAAGCATTCAATAAGTAATTTTTAGAGAAAGAATTGTGTGAAGTTTTTTTTCACTCTTACATATGGAATACTTCTTCTGGTTTTGCAAGTTATAAATAGAAAAGCAATGTTTCTTTCATTGAAGAACTGGATATATTTTCTTTCTTGACTATATATTTTGGGTATGTACCCAATAATATACACTAAATTAAACTGAAAAGGTTCTGGATGGGTTTGCATGATCAATCCTGCATAAGTGAAAATGGAAAAAAAATGTTAAATACAACAGGATTTAATATTCCAGTAATGATGAAATTCTATGACATTTTCTGGTTAAAGAGTTCTTTATTTGGGGTCAGGGCCTTCAGAGGAATGAAGAAAAAAGTATTCAAATTGAGTATTTAAAATACCTAAGTACTCTTACAAAGTTTTCTGTTATACACAGTGATATGAATCTGTTGTTTTCTGCACCTCTATGAATATAATTTCCAGAATGGAAGCATTTCTAAATCTAAACCTCTGTTTACACAGCGAAATGTGGTATAATTTCAAGTCATGTAAGTTCTCTCTTTCAAAGTACTTCTTGTTATTCTTTTGTTTAGGATATGGTTTAACTACTGCTTTTACTAATTAATTAACAAGAAAGGTATAGGTAGCTAAATCTGTCTGTGAAGTCCCTTTTTCCCTGGCATTTTCTCTTTAAATGCTTGACATTACTTTAGCTTAAAGGTTTTCATTTCTCTATTCTTCAAATCAGTGTTTTTTTTCTTGTAGACAAGGACCATTTTGGAGTCAGGTGGTTTAGATTCTCTATTTTTTTTCATTTTTGTTTACATTGTTTTAATATCTGAGATGGCTCAAAGACTGGATTTTTCTCTACGCCTGCAGGCTCTTTAATTATTTCTCTTTTGAGAGCAGGATGCTGTTCTTAACACTGAAAATAGTCTGTACAAATTTGCTAAGGTGTATTTTTTCCTTTTTTGTTTTTTATTCTTTTTTTAAAATTATCATGCAATATACACGCTGGTTTGCCATTTCATAAAAAAAACCTTTTTAAGATTATTGGTTATTTGCAATGTTGATAATTTCTGTGAACATTTTAGTATTCTCATGCTGCAGTCACCCTTCAGTAGCATTGCTATAATCTTGAGAAAGGTTTGATTTCCTTGTTTCTGTGCAATTAACTAAGCCATTGAAAGTGCTTTAGGCTGTACAACTCCCAAATGTTTGAAATTTCCACACTGGGTTCAGGCTTTGCACTTACCAGCTGAGGAAGATTATTGAAAACGTCCACCTGGAGTCTATCCAGTTCATTGATTACACTGATTATGAGGTACACAAATGCTAAAAAGGGTTTTGAAAGACTTAGGAAATTTTCAGTCAAAATTGTGTTGGAGTTGCTGCTGAATGCAATCACAAAGCCTCTCTCTCCATTTGTGGTTTGATTTGCTTGCACCTAAACGAGCAATATATGCAAAGAGAAAATGTGATTTTCTTATTGCTAATTGGCTCTGAGTAACTATATATGCCTTTCACAAACTGGTAATTGGTAATAAATGGTATTTGCTTTAACTAATTCCTACTTTAACAAGTTGCTATTTGAATTTAAAGCATTGATTATGCAGACAGAGCATTTGTAATGAAACAGAGATAGGTCCTGAATAGGAGTAGCAGGCTTTTTATCTGGGCTTTCTTAGAAAATAAATAAAAGAGTAACTTATTGTCTTCTACCAAACTTATTGCTTGCTATTTCTCATGATAATATTTAAAATATACTTTGGTTGTTGGTTGCTTGCTTTTGAGCAGTCATTTTTTGACTGGCTAAGTGACAGATATACTGAGTTAGTGGGTAGAAAGTGTTGCTTATAAATGGCTAGCAGGAAACAGCAAAATTTGTGGCAAACACTGCCTAGCAATTCAAGAACAAAATAGACCAAGCTTTTTACAGTGCAATCTTACTTCACAAGACCAGCATAAATTCAATCAGGATAGTTCTCTTTCTGACCTGAAAAAGACAGCATTTTGAATAGCCAAAAAAGATTCAGGACTAGTATCCTATTGTTAAAATTTAAGCTGACCTAGACCTACCTTCTGAACTAACAAACAGTATGAACCTATTAAGATCTGCTCATTCCTGTTACTTTCCTTTCTCAGGACTGCTGTTGTCACTTCTAAATTCCCCAGAGGAGAGGAGGAAACATGCCTGTTTCAACCTATCAACCTCATTTATTAGGCATTACTTTATTTCTTGTAAATTACTTAACATTCTAATTCTCCAGCAATAAAACTAAAGAAATCTGTGTATGGCTACAAATGTAAAATGGAAAATAAAAAAAAAAAGAAGACTGAAATATCTGCCCTCTGCCCATTCTAGTGAGCTTAGCTCTGTCAGTAGAGTTTTGTGGGAAAGCATCAGTTTGATCAACCAATGATGTGAAAATGAACTTGGATTTCTGATCAACATGGTCGATCCAGATTAGCTAGGAACACATAAGCAAATTATGTCACTCACAGAATGAATGTGTTTGTTTTTTCCAGGAGGAAATATCTGGCATTAAGTACTTAACAATATAACAATATTACCTGTAACATAATTAAGCAAACGTTTCTTTCTAAATCACCATTTTGTAACTATTTCTGTTGAGGAATCACATGTAATAACATTTTGCCAGTTCAGTTTCCTATAGACAGTCTCATGCATATTAAAACCTCTGAAGCATAAAAATAACAATATCAATTAATTTAAACCAGCTGATAAATTTTCACTATTCAACTTAATGTTACAAAAGTGAATTTACTTATTTTAAATGAAGTTTAAGTAAAGTTACTTAATTTTAAATCATAACTCATTGTGTTAATACTTGTACATGGCACAGAATAGGTGGTGAGGGGAGTGAGATGCAGAAGTACCTGTGTTGGCTGCCTGTGAAATCACCTGCATGTCACCTTCAATTATGCAGGATTCCAGCTACTTTAAAGGAATGCTCTGAAGCCTAGTGATTCCTGTGACAGAAAATGGACCAGCCCTTCTTCCTTAAACCTGCTGAGCCCTGTACAGTGAATGTAGAAGACTATGTGGAATGCTTTTGTACAAAACATAATTCAAAAGCAAATCACTAGCATGTCTCAAGGATTTGGGGGGTTTTTATTCTTTTTATTTTATAAATGCATTTCATTCTGATTTTCAAGAATTATTATGTTTATGTACTTTTCAATTTTTTTTTCCACCACAAGGAGTGTAGACTGCATTTTCTTACACTTCTTTCAATGTAATTTTTTGAATGTAATACCTACTGAATTCAAACCTTGGGTAAGGAAACTGTTGTATTATTATTGTAAATAAAAAAAAAATTCTTATGTGTTCCTTAATATTTATATTTCAATAGAGTATATAAAATGAGACTGGTTTGAATTGATTTATAATATTGTTTCATATGCTGGACTATGATAGGTTGTCTATTGCTCTTCTATTGATTATGTAAACTCTTTTGTATATATGTATTGAAGAAAAAAAATTAGCTTCATTTGTGAAATCTTTCATTTTCAGCACTACAAGTCATATATATGGTCTTAAGGCTTTCATTTGAATCCATCTCATTACGTATTAGTAAAAGAAGAGGGTATCCTCTGTGTTGAGAACCATTTAAAAATTCTAGCATAGTTTCCTATTTTCCTCAAGGACTAGTGCTTCCTGACACTTAGATTTTCCAGTGCAACACTGAACCAATTTCAAACTAGGAATAGATTGCTATATAATGCAAAACAGAACAAAACATTTTTTCTCCTTTTTATTTTTTCCCCCTTTTAAATATAGACATAATTATCTTTGCAGGCTAAATTCAGTTTTTATTAATAAGTATTTTGGATGAAAAGTAGGTATGTAATTTTTCATTGTGAGAATAATCAGAATTCATTACAGATTAAGTCAATTAGAATTTTATTTTTCTTTCCCAAGGAGTGCAAAATGGAAGTGATTTTGAGAAAGTAAACTAGAGTATGTGCTCAGAATCAGTGGAAAGATAGGATTGCTTTTTCCATCTGTCTCCCAATGCAGTAAGGTTTTTCCTATCTTGTACTTACAGTGATGAGAACAGGGAATGGTTGCATTGATTTGCATGTATCAGATTCTAGAAGCTGTGATGGAGTCAATGCTTGGTCACATCTTACCAACCTGGAGTGTCTCTTGTTCTTTACAGACTGTCAGGAGCCAGCCACCCCTTGCCACCCCACTGTGACATGGATTCATGTAGCTCCGAGGAATTCTACCAGGCTGTTCACCATGCAGAGCAAACCTTCAGGAAAATGGAGAGCTACTTGAAGCAGCAGCAGCTCTGTGATGTTATCCTGATTGCTGGTGATCGCAAGATACCTGCACACAGGTAGGATATAGGCATAAAACATTGAAATTACAAAAGTTAATGTAGTTTTGGGTATGTGTATTTCTCAGAACAGTGTTTCCTGTTGCCCCTTATGATTCTTTCCTGTCTTTAAACACAAGTGTAAGTGGCTGGAAAAGATGGGTTTGAAGGCTGGGGCTTTGAAGGTAAGGGTTTTTTGTACAGATTTTAAAAGTTCAAGTAGCACTCAACTAGCAAACTGATGGTATGTGTGACTAACAATTCTCCCTGCTGTGATGCTGTTCTTATGTGAAGAGAATGTGAATTTCTGAAATGGGGTGCTCTATAGCTACACTGAACAGCATCATTTCTAGTTTAAGATCCTGATCCTGTGATAAGTCTGTTGTACAGAGTCTCTTAGACACTTATAGTAGAATAGTGAATACTTTCTTCCTATAACCTGTGCCTTTCAATGAACTAAAAAATTCTTATTTACTTATAATTATTGGGATAAAAATTATAGTAAATTTTAATTTCTAAAATTCTGTAAGATTGTCTGATATTAAAGCAGCTTGTATTTATGAAACTACTTGGTTTTGGATAAAAATTAAAATTAAAGTAGTTCATTGAGATTTTGGTCTCAGAAATAGGTTTTCATTTAATGCATGAAAATAAAAATATCATCCTAGAGTTTAGATTAAAATACAGACAATAATTCAGAATTTCCAGGTGAGCAAGTATTTTTGTATCTCAACTCTGCATAAGGCTGCAAACCAAGGGTAATCTATTCCCTGCTTGTGTCCTGATTTCTCTGGTGAGATACTAAATTCAGAGCAGGATTATGGTTCCCCAGCAGGAAGTCAGAAAAGCAGCCAGTGCATTTCTGAACTCATAAATTAACTTCCTGGTGCAGAGGAGTACTGTAAGGGCGTCTTGGCAACTTTGACCTTACAAAGTTCCTTTTGCCCTGAGTGAATATGGACACAGAGACTATTTCTGTTAAACAAAGAAGCTGGATAGTCTGTATTCCAACTCCTATAACAGTAAGTAAAAGAAAAAAAAACATGCAATATACAAGACTGCAGAGCCAAATGCTAAGTAAAACCAGACAGAATCTTCATTAATATATTTAAATAATGGGGATTTTAAAATTAGTTTCTTTCATTTCCCCTATTATTTTGAATACAGCTGTTCATGTTTGGATGCATACCTTTTAGTAGTAAATTTAATTTCACATGTGTCATTTCAATTCTGCAGTATATATAAATCCTTCTGGAGCTGAAAACATGCCCTAATAAGAAGACTAACCATGAAATAATACCTATAATCCTATTTAGATTTTCTAATAAACCTTTGGACACCTTTACATGTAATTTTCTACTTCTCTGTCGTCTGCGGTCAAAATTCCAAATCACAAATAACTGGAAAATTTTGATAATGTTTATTCTATGTTTGTTTAGATAGGTGTGTCTGGACAAGCACAGTGAGTTGCTTATTTTACTGTAGTCATTACAGTCCTAGAAATTACAGGTTCAACTTGCCCTGCTCAAAGCAGGGTCAACTGCAAGGTTAGACCATTGAGGTCATACACAGTTAATTTTTAAATATCATCTCTTATGTATATTCCTCTCTTGTTGGCCTCTTCCAGTTTTTATCATCCTCATTGTTGGTAGTGATGCAGGTTATGTCATCCAGGCAAATTTGCTCCATGATCTTGGTGAGGCAAATAAGTCTGTAGGTGCCTACATCCTTCTTCTTAGGGATTTACATGAAAATTGACTTTTCCAGTCTTTAGAAACTTAGAAACTTCCTGCAATTATCATGATCCATTACAGATACAAGAGAGTGGCCCTTGAATAACATTGCAGAGCTTCCTCCAGTATTACACTTTAAACTTGTCCTCAAAACACACCATAATATATATATATAAAATTTAAAAAAAAGAAAAAAAAAGACTGAGACAAATAAAGCTTTTTTGTGCAGTGCACAAAATTTTTCAAAAGTTTTACATTTGCTTCCAAGGTACTTACAGAAACCCTTCTTTACTATGAAATCCCTTGCTGTCTTCATCTGTACATGATCTTTGGGCCTCTCTAATTAATTTTTTTTATGTTTCTGTATTTCTCCCAGACCATTCATCTCTGCTTTCATTTTTCCATGGACTCCTGTTGTGTGTTTGGGAAATAAATATTGTTCAGAACTATAGTGGCATGATCAGAGTAAATGAAAAATTTTAATCAAGCAATAATCACATGGGTCAACATAAAATTAAGAATATGTGTTTGCCATCATTGATTTGGTTGTTCTGAGTGAAGGCAATTTACATGAATTGCACTGGTTTTAGATAACTGTGCTTGAAATGCTGTGTTCTACAGCTGCTGAAGAAACATCAAAAGTGCTGGGAAGAAAAGAGCTACAGTCACTGCAAATGATAGATGGACCTTAATATTTGTGCTGGAGAGTTCATTAAAACTTCCTTCTAGGACTGCATAATATTAGAGCATCTTTAAACTCATACTGTAGTTTAAGACATTTTGATTAGTAATGCTGCACAAAACAAGATAGGAACTCTATGCTGAAGGGAACAAAAAAAAAGAACAAATGCCATATAAGGCTTAAATTCATGTGCCTCTATCCAATTAAAACACTCCCATATAACAGAGACTGGATTCAATAACACAGAAAATTCAATAGAACCAGAAAATGCGAAGAAGGTGTAGAAGGGGAGTTATATCCTCAGCTTATAGTTCTGACTTCCATTGCACTTGTTGAGAAACTAAGAAATCTACTTTTGTTGTTGTTATAATATAGTCAGATATAGTTGAGTGCATAATGAGAAATACGAGTTTTTATTTACTTAATAAAAAGTTTTCTCTTAATATAACAAAAAAATAAAGTTGGTTTTTTTTTCAATATTCAAGAAAAGGATCATGGGGAACTCCTACCATTGGCAGAAAAGGTAGTACAGAACTATTGGAAAATTACCTATAACATATGAAACAATGAAATACTTTAGTAAGGTTACCCAAAGCTTTCTACTAGTATTTGAATGACATGTGAAGATAAATTTAATAAAACCCCTTCAACCCCTTCAAAGGCAGTTAGCATTGTCTGTTTCAGTGCCCTGGGTGGTTACAACATTTTCAATCCATTTTGAGTTCTAATGTAGAGAGGCAAACTTAAAGAATAGTATTAGTAAAATGAGGAAAAATTAATGGAGAAAGTTTAGCTGAAAGACAAGATGAAAGAATAAAGATCGAGGCAGAAAAGAAAGGAGAACCAGGCAGAGAAAGAAGGAAAGTGTAGAAGCAGGGAGTGAGAGAAGAAAAATGCGTAGAAAACAGAGTAAAAGCAGTACAGCACCCCTATGTTATTCCCAGATATCTGTAAGGTTTGATGAACTTCCCATATCAAACAGTGCATCTAAAAAGAGTTGTTTAACACAACCCATTGTCTGTGAGTTTAAAAACAATTCATTCAAGTAATATGGTTGGGAAAGAACAACAACAGCAAAAATTCCTGCTATCAGAGGAGCAGCAAGGCAATTTAGATAAGCTTTTAATATTAACCTTGATTGATGATCTTGATATGGGGGTTTGGGTTGCTGGCAAGTTGAATGAGTGTTAGCAGTGCCCTGGCAGCAAAGGGGAGCCTGGGAAGGACCAGGCACAACATCACCAACCCATCGAGGAGTGATTGCCTCTCTCTGCTCTGTGCTGGTACAGCTTCACCTTGAGTATTGTGTGTAGTTTTGGGAGCCACAATATAAGGACATCACACTCTTGGAGCATGTCCAGAGGAGGGCATCCAAGGTGGTGAAAGGTTTTGAAGGAAAAATGGACAGGGAGAGCAGCTGAGGTTACTGGGCTTGTTCATCCTACAGAAAAGAAGGCTGGGGGATGACCTCATCACAGTCTACAGCTTTCTCAAGGGGAGCAGCAGACGGGGAGGTGGTGAAGTCATCTGTCTTGTGACCAGTGACAGGACCCAAGGAAATGGAATGAAGTCAGGGGAAGTTCAGATTGGATATTAAAAAAAGGTTCTTCAGCAGAAGGGTGGTAACCAAGGTGGTGAAAGGTTTTGAAGGAAAAATGGACAGGGAGAGCAGCTGAGGTCACTGGGCTTGTTCATCCTACAGAAAAGAAGGCTGGGGGATGACCTCATCACAGTCTACAGCTTTCTCAAGGGGAGCAGCAGACGGGGAGGTGGTGATGTCATCTGTCTTGTTACCAGTGACAGGACCCAAGGAAATGGAATTAAGTCAGGGGAAGTTCAGATTGGATATTAGAAAAAGGTTCTTCAGCAGAAGGGTGGTACGTTGCTTCAACAGGCTTCCCAGGGAAGGGTTAAGAGTTCAAGGAGCATCTGATCATGCTCTTAATCACATGGTTTATTTTTGTTTTAGGAGCCTTAAGAGTCCTTTTCCAGCTAGAGATATTTTATTACTGTATTAAACCAGAATACTAATGCTATTACTTTATGGACTGGAAAAAGGTGCAGTAACTGAAATGGACTTAGAAGGGTGAAAGAACCTACTCTTTTACTTTAAAACCATTCTCCCTTGTCCTATCGCTACATGACCATATAAAGAGTCCCTCTCCATCTTTCTCAAAGGCTTCTTTTTCCAGTACCTTCAAAGGTACTGGAAGGCAGCAATTAAGTCATCCCTAACTCTTCTTTTTTCTAGGCTGAAAAAGCCAAATTCCCTCAATATTTTCATATGGGAGAGGTACTCCATCCCCTAATCATTTTGGTGGTCACCATTTTGATGACTCACTCTAAGAGGATGATGTCCTTCCTGTACTGTGAACTATACCACTATTCATTGAATGTGAGATTTTATTCCTTTCAGAAGTCAGAGCTTAAAATTGCAACTTTTTAAAAGAAATAATACTTATGAATGCATAGATATGATTCTATAGATATAGATATATATATATGCTTACTTTCACAATGCCATCTGTCAAAAGGTAAATGAAAATTAAAATTTAGTGTGGAAAAATTCTAAATATTACCTTTTATCCCTAGAATCTTTGTAAATGAAAGCTGCTTGTATGCAGTACTCCAGGTGGGGTCTCACCAAAGCGGAGTAGAGGAGCAGAATCCCCTCCCTCACCCTGCTTGTCACCACTGTTTTGATGCAGCCCAGAAAATGTTTGGCTTTCTGTGCTGTGAGTGCACATTCCAGCCTCTCATCCAGAAGCATCACCAAGACAGTCTCAGCAGGACTGTTCTCTATTCATTCATTCCTCAGCCTGGATTGATACTGGGGGTTGCCCTAACCCAGGTTCAGCACCTTGCACTTGGTCTAGTTAATTTGAGACCATTTCTCATGGACCCAGTTCTTGAGAATATTCAGCTCCTATGTGCATTAGCATAATATACATGGAGAAAAAATAGTGTCTTGCCTATGATTTTTTAGCCTATATAACATCTGATATCTACTCAGTTGGCAGTAAAATATTATAAGAGTTTTCTTAAAGATTTTAAGTGATCAAAATTTGTTTTCTTCTTTTAATAAATGCACTCTCAGTGTTGAGGCAATTCTCTGTCAAAAGTGTATATGAAAACAGTTGTGAAAGTACCAAAGAAATATTCTATAATACACTAAAATATTGTGTATTCTATAATATTTAGTGTATACTATAATACACTAAAATATTCTATAATACACTAAAATATTTATTGTTTGCATTAAATAAAATCTGATATCCTGGGAAAAAAGGTCACAACCCTAATCAGTCATATCTGCTACTTATAAAAGAAACCAGAAATTGATCAGTCTGAAATTAGCTGTAAAGAGAAAGAAGTCTCTTAATCTGAAGAAATCTTTCTGGGTTCACAAACTCAATTTAAGCCATGAGTTACCTGCTATGAGTCTCAAGGATGAAAGAGTTTATTATGTATTCTCACTACCAGATCTGAAGTTGAAAAGGTGACATCCTCAGCCACCTGACCTTCCTTGATTAATAGGTCAACATGCCTTTAAACCAAGATTTAGGGATGTTTGGAGTCTTCTGAACTACAAAAACCAGCAGATCATTACAAATTAATTGATCTCTTTGATTTCTCACTTTTGATCTTCCATCTCAACCCTGGAAGACAATAAAGATTTACAAAAGGTGTCACCTTTCAGAGTTAAGTGTAATTAGCAGTTCCTCTCTCTTCACTTCAACTTGCAGAGCACTTCCCAAGGTAAAAGTTAGTGTCTTGAAACTTAGTCTTTTGGTTATAGTAAGGTGATGAAATAGCTGATTCAGTATTTCTGTTAACTATTGATTAGTTAACATAAGACACTTAAAAAAATAATCCTTGTTTTTTTATCACTATGTTCAAAAGCTTGTCTTGCTTCTGTAGGTGAGCTGCTACATCACAGAACCTTTCTGCTCATTTAAGCCATCTTCTTTGATAGGTGGTATGAAACAGTAAGGATAAACCTCTAAGAAAAATGGGTAATGCTGAGGACCTGACATGTGTCTTATATTTTTTCTTTTTTTTTCCCACTTTGCACTGGCTCCTGTGTGTTCCTGTAGACTGAATGCTCCTTTGCAGCTGAAATCCATTAGATAACATCTTTGATTTTCCTCACACAAACTGTGGAAAATCACATATTTTTATAGAAGTTGGTGAAAGAGATTTAATCTTTCTGTTATTTATTTTCTGCCTTCCCTCTATTGTTTTTTATTTGTTTTATATTTGACAAAGAGATTTAATCTTTCTGTTATTTATTTTCTGCTCTCCCTCTATTGTTTTTTGTTTTATATTTGACTATATATATATATATATATATATAAACATATATGCACACATATATACAGTAAGATTATATAATAAGTAACTGCTGAACATAAATAATGTGAATTTAAAATACAAGATATTACTGTTAGAAAATATTTCCACTGGTCATTAACTGGTGTATTAAAATTTCTGTTCATTCATTTGTCCTTTTTTTTATTTTTATGCAGCCAAGGGTTTTGGCCTTGCTTTTGGCAAGTGATCAAATCAAATATCCATAGCTGAACTTAAATGATGGCTAGTAAATCTGAAGCAACAACTAATGGAAAATGAAATTAAATTAAATCTTCATGAATGAAATGGTCTCAAATTAAAATCTCCATCACATACCTAAATTACATCTCTGCTATCTGTGAGAATTTTGATCTCATAGAAAATCATTATGTTTTTCCTTTCTGTGATTTTTTGATGCTTTTATTAAAGCATCTATGAAGAATAAAGTCACTTACTTATGAGTGGTCAGAAAAAGTACTAGGAGAAGATTTACAAATATAATAATATATAAATAAGCAAACATAGAAGTAAATGTTCCTCAATGATGAAAAAATAGTAAATTAGGAGTTTCTCATGGCAGCAGCAACGTCTGTTTCTAAGTTCATCTTTTTGTAGTCATCCATTGATGTTTAGTCATTACATAGATATAAATGTGAACTGTTTATGAATTAGGATGCTGACTTCTAAAATTCATCATTGCTGGAGTTGAGCACAACATGAAAAGTGATAAAAGTACTATACCTGTTTAGTCATTTTCCATCTTTAGAGGCAAAGATCATATATATATGTCTTCAGTCTCCCCTACTTGCTGGTAAAATACAGCAGCTTAAAGCACTGTAAAATTATGAAGCCAATTCAAGCTGTCATATTTTACTTAGCTATCGTGAGCTAAGAGTGCAAAAGCAATCAATTACCATGGTGGCTGATAAGACTTAACGTGTTTATCTTCACTATGTTTTTAGTAATAATTTGCCCTGAACTAGCTAACAATATACAAAAGGCTAATTATTTTTCTCTTTGTTTCCAAGTTCTCCAGTTGTAATTGTAGTGTCTTTTATTAATATGTTTGTATGTCATGTTTTCAAATGAATCCAGAAATGTGGCCATCATTATGAAAGCACATGGTACACTATTTATATCTGTACCACATTTCTATCTCACAATCATCTGTGAATATTTACTCCTAACAAGATCAAAATTTCACTGTAGATGGTATTTGGAAGAATGCCTTAACTTAAAGCCCCAGTAATTACAGTCATACCTGATACTGCTGTGGTATTGATTTATCTATATCAGATCTCTAAACAGTAAGCTATGAACATTTTGTAGGTATTTTCAAAATATATTCAAAATATTTCCTTGGACATGTTTATTAACAAAAGCATTGTATTACACAGTGATTTTATTACATATTTTTAGCGAGTAGCATGTTAAGCTACTAACAGTTTAGTAGATTATATTTAGTATAAATATAGATTATCTAAAGTCACATGCTGTTATTAAAGTTTATAACAAATAAGCCTGTGGGAACAAAGAAGAGTACCTCTGGATTATGAAATGCCTATCATTATTAAGTTGATATTTGATACTGAGAGATTCTCTTGTTAACAGTTGGGACATCTGCATGATTGGAAGATTATCAGAAAGATTGAGTGCTAATTTCCATGTCTGTTTTATAGTCATATGCTAAAGTACCACTTGGTTCATATCACAGGAGCCAAAATCAAATTAGAATTAAATGTCATTCTGTGTTTTTCTGCCAATGTGAATTAATAATATATTCCTCCTAATAATTTTAATTATTATTAAAATAATTTTAAAGAAGTTTATAAATATGTGATATTTCTAATACATATATCCAAGCAAATTGCAGCAGTTTCTTACTTCTTTTTTTTCAGACTTGTCCTCAGTTCTGTCTCTGACTACTTTGCTGCCATGTTTACAAGTGATGTTTGTGAAGCCAAGCAAGAAGAGATCAAAATGGAAGGCATAGACCCCAATGCGCTGTGGGACCTTGTTCAGTTTGCATATACAGGTATCGTGGTGCATACATTATGTACTTCCTATAGCGGCAGATGTGGATATTTTTGTTTGCTACATTCCAATTAATTGTATTTTTTATTTAAATATTTTTCTTTTTAACCTTTATCATCCAAAATGTTTATTTACCATTTCTAGGGATGAATTCAGGTTGTTATCTCATGTCCAAACTGTCTAATATTTCAGACTTGTCAAGTGCATTGGGACAGCCAAGAAAAGGATATATTTTTCTTGGTCTTCAAATATTTAAAAGGAATGTCTCATACCCACATGATTCAAATTAATAGGATCACTGAAGAAACAGCTGTATTTTTTGAAGAATAATCCTGTGTTGCTGTCTTAATCAAATCTCAGTTTAAATATTGCATAAATCTTTAAAAATTTGAAAGAATAAAAAATTGAAGTTTAAATAAGAAAATGTTTTAAAAGGTTTTATTATGAGCCTGATGTTTTCACTTTCATTTCCTTTCATATGCTAGTACTCTGTTTTGAAGTGTGAACTTATGAATAACTCACAATTCACAGTTAATAACTCAAAGCTCTCTTCTGAATAGTTTTTACATTTTAATACATTATAGATTTAGGATTTATCCTTGTTAAGCAACTTGTTATGCACATTGTAACTGGAATGCATTAATCTGACAGAAAGAATGCTAATGTTACAAAATAAAGTAATTAAAAGAGTGGAACTGCCTGTAAGATTTACGTCGAATCACATAAGTATAAAATATATACTGTTTTCTATTTGTTTCCTGAAATACATCCTTATATTGTTTAAATTAACCATATTTTATAATGATGATTCTATCATATATTTGATTTCGATTCAATTTTAAATGGATGCCCCAAACCCTGCAGTTTTAATCTGCTCTAAATACACATATAATAATTTAATCACAAATTCCTGTTTGCTTTGATGTATTTAATCAGGATATGGTCTGGGCTTTTTATGACATAATAGCTGTACCATCTTAATAGAAAACAGAAACGGCAAATAAGCATAATTTAAGCCAAAAATACTCTTTTTGATAATAATGTTTGAGAAATAAATGTTCAAGGAATGTAATACCATGATTTAGATAGTACTCTACGTATTAAAAGGGTAATGCCTCCTCCCTCCAGCTGTGGCTTTGCCACTCAGGAATGTGCATCATCTGGAGGGTTTCAAGCTAGGGATCCATAAAATTAAATAGTTCATATAAGAAGGATACGAAGGATACAATAAGAAGGATCTGATTCCTTGGTGAATGAATGGCACAGGAATACCGGGGCAAAATCAAGAATACCTTGGCACAGAACAGCGAAAAAGACTGGGGGTAATGTTAAATCATTTTGTAGGAGGAGGTTAAAGATAGAGGAGGTAAGAGAAGAGACTGTGTTGTTCTCCTGGAAAGAAAACTGTGGAAATCCTAAAGTACTGTATTGTACTTTTGTCTCAGTATTCATTAAAATATCACCTGGAAAGGTACAAAAGAGTTGTAATTGACAGCAAGAGATAGCATGTGAGTGTAGATTAAGGAAAGAAGGAGATTCAGAAGGATGGGGGGAAAAATACAGACATTTTCAAGATGAATAAAGCTATTTAAGAACTTTATGGTTATCTCTGAGAACTTTGGAGACTGAATGAAGCAATGAGAAAGTGGAAGAAGCAAACTACTGCTTACCAAAAACGTTTAAAATTTTCAGCTCCTTTGTGCTCCTTGATTCTCTATGCCATGTGATGTACTCTGTTCATTATATGAGATGTAAAATTCAAAAGTTTCTTTTTGCTGTAAGGTAAATAAGGGCCAGACTTCACAAATGGATGAAAAGAGAGCTCCACAGCTAGTATAATTTGCATGTTTTCTAATTTGCCTCATATTACTTTGCATCTGTAATATTCATTCATGTAAACAGTCACATAGTCCAAACTGCCTCAGAAATGGCAACATTATGTACTATTATAACATCACCTGGAAGAATTAGAAACCTAAGATGATAACCAAGATCTCTAATGTCTTTCACTTGAAGTGGCAATACACCATTATTCTTTTTTTCTAACTCATTTTGTAGACCAAATAAGACTTTTAAATGCCTTAAGTTTACACTTGCAAGTTTCACATATACTTCATGACAATAGAAGAATGATGAGGGTCGGGAAACGTGAGAAAATTTTATATGCTAAAAGATTAAATATATTGGATGCCATAGATCATTATGTTTTTTATTACTCTGTCTTGTATTTCTCTTCCATCAGGTTCTTTGTCCTGATTTATTCTTATTTATCCTTATTTATTCTTAGCTTGTATCCTTATCTCCTGGAGTTCATTTGGAATTATTTCTTTCTCTATGTCTTTTCTCTGCATCAGATATCTTAGCAGACACCTAAATTTCCTAGCTACAATTATGCTAATAAATTAAACAATGCTGGGGAAGGTTTACAGGAACTGGAACACAATTGTCTCTATTGATCCTGGAAGTTTTAGCCAAATCCAAAGAGCAATCTCTCTAACAAATGGTGGGTATACCTTGGATACACAGCTCATCATTAATGTGCCTAACCTTGAACAGAGGGTAAGGGCATTAAAAAGTGCTATGGGGAATTCAGTGATAACTCACATGATTCGTGAATTCCTAGAAAATAGTCATAAACTTATTCCGTTTATTGAAATTAAATACAATCTGGGATTCTCAGTTAATCACTCTGTTTTCCCTTGACCTTGCTAGAGCAAAACCATAATTTTTTCCCCATTTTCTTTCCATCATCTCAGGTGATTTATCTAGATTCATAGTTTCTTATCTCCTTTCTTGCACTCTGGTTCCTTATTTGCCACCAGTCTAGCTCATGTCCTCTTTCCCTTTGAGTCAGTTCACTTTCCTTTTGCTTCATGGATGTGGACAGACAAGTGGAAATTTAAGAAAATAGCCACTGTTTGGATACCCAAAAGTACAGAAGCCAAGAGAATGTCCCTTTCAGACTTTTGATCGATAATCTGGAACATACATCTGTCTAGACTTAGGCAGAATATCTGGAGAATCTGGCTGCCAAATTGCAATTACTGATTGCACAATGTGTGAAAAAGTTTTCAGCAACTCATGTCTGTGACCAGTTTAGCTTTTTATTGTTTTACCTCAGGAATAGAAAACAATTTTGACAAATGGGCAGTTATTTACTCCTATTTTCTTTTACTTGTCACTAACTTCTTAACTCAAAGAATTTAAAAAAAAAAAATCACCTATAGTTGCTGCTTGTTATAGAGATTTTCCCTGGGGACAACTGAACAAATAAGAAAAAAATACAGCTGAACTTGTTTGCAAAAATGTAGAAGTTAAGAGTATTACAGTGCAAATATGTTTAGATGTGATTTAAAAGGTGGAACCATTTCCACATCTTATTATCTGTAATTCAGTCAAGTTTATATTTTTTAAAATAATCTAGTGAAATTATTGCATTTTTACCTGTGAATCATACATATTAAGGAGGAGGTTAAGAAGGATAAAATATATGTGTCTATGAAAAGCATTATTATAGGTGAAGATATCATAAACTGATACCAGACCCTCCACCAATGTAATCTAATATGGTTGCAAAATATCAGAATTAAAGTTCATCCGAGGTAAAATTTTGTACACCAGACATATATAAGGAAAAATAGTCCGGGGGTGCATCAGGCACAGCATCACCAGCTGAGCATGGGAGGGGATTGTCCTGTTCTGCTCTGCACTGGGGTGGCCTCATCTAGGGTTCTGTGTGTGGTTTTGGGCACCACAATATTAAGAAAGACATTAAATTATAAGAGAGTGTCCAAAGGAGGGCCTCAAGCCCCTTCACACGAGATTTGTGAAGGGGCTTGAGGAGCAGCTGAGTTCACTTGGTCTGTTCAGCCCCGAGAAGACTGAGGGAAGACCACATTGCAGTCTACAACTTCCTCATGAGGGGAAGAGGAGGGGCAGGCACTGATTTCTTCTCTGTGGTCATCAGTACAGAACCCAAAGGAATGCCCACAGCTGTCTCAGGGATCATTCAGGCTGCATATTAGAAACACAAATTCTTCAGTAAGAGAAGGTTGGGCACTGGAACAGGCTCCCCAGGGAAGTGGCCACAGCATCAAGTGACAGAGTTCAAGAAGCATTTGGACAGTGCTCTCAAGCACATGGTCTGATTCTTGGGGTTGGTCTTGTGCAGGGCTTAGATCAATGACGCCTGAGGGTCCCTTCAAACTCAGCTTATTCTGTGATTCTGTATGCAAATAGGTTTCTAAGTAATTGGTGAGGTAGAATTACATGGTGACCAGCAGAGCATTAAGTCTTGTACAGGCTTGATTAGATCAGCTCCTCAGTGAAGGCACCTGCCAATCTAAGATTAGTAACAGGAACACAGAAAATTAGACAACCAAAAGTATTGATTTAAAGATAATAAAGGGTGCTGAAGTTTCTGTGAAGATTCAGTATGAATAATTCTGTAATTTTAAAGTTATGTGATCGATGTACCTATAACACAGAATTTGATTAAAGCTGAAAAAATTGGCGTGTGTATTAAAATATGTACTATAAACTCTGTGTTAGGTCAGTCTTGAGGTTGTTTTGGAAGTGTTTTTTGATTTATTAATATATATATTTAACTTATATTTTTTGTAAGCAAATTAATAATGTAGTAATTTCATATTGCTTTATCTGAAATATGCACAAAGTTTTCCAATGACATAGCTACATTATAATGTAATTATGACTTGTATAATTCAAATTATGTGGATGATTTGAATTTATTAGAAAAATACTCCATCAAAATTATATACTTCTTGTTCTGTAAATACACTCACAATGATAAATCAAAACAGCTTTACCATAGTTTTTTGTAAAGGATATATTTGACCAGTAAAAAATATGCAACTTCATTAGTCTATCCACATTTTGCTGTATTTTTTTTGGTTTATTCAAATAGACAAAGTATGTTTTGTCTGTGATATAGTAGAATTGTAACTTAATAGGAAATAAAATTTCCTCTTTTGCATATCT